TGCAACATTACAGGTACAGGTAATTCTGCCTGGAGGTCTGGATAACCTCCTAACATCCTTTCTAAACTAAGTTTCTAAGATTCTGTGAAAAAAACAAAAAAAAAAAACCCAGACAAATTTATGTAAAATACTTGAAAGAGCAGAAATTGGGAATACACAAAGTACTGGTTATTTTGTTTCAATATTTACTATTTACTGGATGTGGTTCAAAACCTCCTGTGATTTATACTCACTTCCTAACCCAGCTCTGGTGAAGAAAGTATTAAAAACACAAATAAAAACCTCATTATCCTCACTGAGTGATTCATTCCATCAAATACCTGTGTCAGAGAGGGAATGTGCACCTCAGATTCCAACTGCTGAGCTGGATACCTCCACTCTGGCTTTGATTTCCTTGTTGAAACCATGGAATTGCTGGATGGGAGTGGTGCAATGTTCCCTTTAGCAGAGGAAGATGTGCCATTAATTACTTCCTTTGGCTTTGGGAAGGTGATGGTGTCTGTGTTTTCAGGGTCCAGCCTGCTACTGATCTCTCCTGCAGAAATAAAACATGGTTTGAAGGTTTCATTGACTTATTACCAGTTATTAATTTAATCCCATGGCAAACAGAGGCCTGATCAGCAGGTGACAGTCATGACTTACAGCACCCCTGGCTTAACACTGGGCACAGCTTCAGATTTGGGTGCTTAAAATTTCAAATGGGCAGGTGGGAACCCAGGAGGAGCCCAGAAATGAACCAAACCCTTCCAGGGGACAAGAAATCTGATTCCTACCCCGTTGCAAGACACAGCATTTTCCTGTGCTTTATACTCTGCAGAATTTGGTGACTGCTCATCATAGAGCTCTTTCCTTGTGAGATAAAAGCTGAGAGTGAAGCTGGAGATGCAGCTGAAGATTGTTATCAATGCTTTGCACTCACCTACAGCTGATTTCTTGTGCTGCCTGGGGAATTCAGGGAAAGGTGCTGCTCTGGACACAACAGGAGGGGCTGGCAGAGTTCTCTCTGCTGCTGGAAGGATGAGCCTTTGGCCACCTACAAGAAGGTGACACTCCTGAACAATTCCAGCTAGAAATAAAAACGAATTCTTGGCAACCAAGAAAGTATTAAGCAAAGGCAGACCCAAGTTCTACATCAACACTACAAAACTAGCAGTTTCCTTTAATTGAAAGATTCCTGTCTTTCAACAGACAATATTTTACCCAGGAGGAAGGTGAGCTGTGCCAATAAAAACTGACAAATACATGCAAGATATTGAACCAGTGCTAATTCTGAAATATATTTGTATACCTAAAATTATATGCTTGTACAGTGCAATTTAATATGCAGAACACATGAGAATTAACTCTTGTAAAACACAATATAATCATGTAATTACAACTATAAACTGCTTGCTAGAACAGTCCAAGCCTAGTTAAGACTGAACAATTAATAACCAGCTGTTAATCATGATAGTTTCTCTGGTATTTATACAGGAACCTCCACCACACAATTCTTTGCAGCAGCAGCTGAAGCCTGTGGGTTCCAAGAACTGGTTCAGGATGATGCTCAGCAGGACACACTCTACACCTGCAGAAAGTGGCCTAAATCTCATCCCTACCCTTTGCAATGTTTAAAATCACAATTTTTGGTAGTCTGGAGGTGGCAGGAATGAACCTGGCACCCTAAAAAATTCCCAAATAAAGAGCAGCCCAGCAGCACCCAGAGGGCCTTTGGGACTCACCTTTTGGGGTGTCTTCTTCTGTCAGGGGTAAGGGAAAACCTGGGGAGTGAAAGGCAGGCAAAGCCCAAGGGCTGGAGGCTGTGGGACCTTTCCCTGGCTTCTGACTGCACATCTGGGAAGAGACAGAACCTCCTTGAACACAGGGAAATCTGGGATTTACAGACACTCCTCTACTCCTGCAGCAATAAATAACAAATGTAATTTCTGCCACGACTGTTTCATTAAGATTTAACAGTGCACCACTCCTTTTATTACTTGTGAACATGCTACAGTATTGTCTACCGTTGTTACTTCAGTAATTTAAAATAAAATTAATTAAATTTAATTGATGTCTTGTGTACTGTTTAATGAGGGAATCTCAGGCAGTTTGCTCAGTTTTAAGGAGAGCAGTGTAAATACAGCGTTTCTTGACAGAACACTGTTAAAGAATATAAAATGCATACACAGGCAAGGAACCAGAAGGAAAAATAAGTATTTTAAAATATTAGCTTTTAAAGAATGATCATCAAGCTTTTAGTACAATCCAGGCCATCACCAGGATCTTGGAGCACTGTTGTGTCCTAATTATTGAATAACAGCAGCCAGCAACTTTCTAGAAAGGGAGAAGGAACTCCCAAGAGGGAAATGAGACAGATCAAAATTAACTATTCTAATCTTTCCTCCCAATTTGTCTAACAACACTGCCCACAAGAGATGAGGGAGAGAAAAATCTGTGCTTTTTATCGTAATAGAGAACCTTTCAGAGAAATTCCAGCCCTTCATTTCAGGTTATGGCCATTATGGAGCATTCTGTTTTAAGGGATGGAGAAGGATGAATCCTCATGTCCTGGTCTTCCAAGAAAATAGCAATAACCATGGAACAAAGGTTAACTTTATGTCTGCTGCCATGTAAGTGGTTTGATACTGAGAAAATAAAATTATAAACCACATTTTCCTGCTCACCCTCAGCCCCAGCAGCTTGGTGAGGCCACAACAAAAATATATAAAAGGCAAGAAATCAAATTAAACAGTGATTCCTCTTCCAGACTGTTGCTGGTGTAGCAGTAAGGCAGCACTGATTTTACTCCTGGTCAGTTTTATCCTAATTTAAATCCCAGTTATGAGGTTTGGTTATGATAAACAGCACATGAAATACATTTATTTTCATTGTGTCCACAGAGATGTAGTAAGCTGCAAGGAAAAGCAGTTCAGGTGGAGTGTGTGAGTTCAAAAGCAGCCTGGAGGATTGTTTGTTTTTTAAATTGGAGATAGATATTTAATTATTTTTTGCTGTATCCTTTAATTTCTATAAAGTCCATCGCAGGCATGATGTTAAAACAAGGACTGATGCAACAGAAATATAATTTAATCTCTCATTTACACTGCCCAGTGCCATCATTCAGTAGGACAGGCACCACAGTGGAGCTGATCCAAAACAACTCCCCATGGAAATTCCACCCAACCCCTCCACCTTTCCACATTCTTCCAGCACTCTGATGGCTGCACTGGCTCCCTCCTGAAGAATTCAGGGAGACACCCAAGCAAAACTGCCTTCATTTTGGGAGTTATTGTCACTAAAAATAAGCCAACATGATTATAGTAAGACCTCAAAAGTAATATTAAGTACTGCAAGAGAAAGGTTTACTTTTAACATCACTGCTTCATCATGAGCACTTTTAAAATTCAGTTTTGCAGGGCTGGAAGGGAGCTCTTAAATTGCAGGGCAGACCAAGGCTGACTTGCCTTAAAATATGCTTGGAGTGTGCTAAAAAACTATTTTTTCATTTCAAGTGCTTCTGAGTGTAATTAACCTGGGACACAAGAAAAACAATTCTATTACCCTTTCTAAAGTGTTTTTCTCCTGTGGATAAACCTCTCCCACTTTATTTTTTCTTTTTGCTTCATTTTAAATAGGGCACTTGTTGAAACACCACAGGGATTTTTCTGATTAGTTCTCTATTTGTTTTCTTTTTATCTAGCAATATTTAACTAGAACATCTTTTTATGTGGTTGTTTTTGTGGGGTTTTTTGGTAAATATCTTTGTAAGTATTTTTTTCCTCCAATAAAAAACAGAGCCTAGTATTAAATACAGGGAAAAGATGAGTAGTGTGTACCAAAGCAGGAATAGAGAGATGAGATTTAGTAAATAAATATTAGAAAATTGAAGGGTTTGATAGTGATGGGAAAAAAGGGATATAACAGATTAATTTATTGTTCCATCTATCTTCTCCAAACTGTCATATTTGTTGTTAAGAAGTTTCTGTCAGGATTTGATGGACACAGCACTTTCTCCTATGAAGGGAAAGAGGAAGCACAGCAAAATAAAATCAATGGAACTAAGGTCACCTTTCAGTATGTTCAGAAGAGTGTCAGGAAAGTGCTTGGAGAAGCCAAATTTAATTGGAAAAATTTGGAATTGCATCTTTAACAGCAGTTTTTGTGTTACTCTTACCTTCTCTAAGCTTTTAGAGTAACCAGAGATAGCGCTGAACTGCCAATTTTCCACATATTCGGAAAAATCAAGCTTTGCCCCTTTTCCTGGCCCTCCCAGAAATCCAGATCCATCAGAATTCCCCCCTAACAGGTGTGAAAGAGAATAGAGGGAGAACTTTGGTGAATCCCACATCTGCTTTTTGAAACAGGCACCAGCAGCAGCACAGAAGAGAGCGAGGGAGATAATTGCTGGCTTGAACCACAATATGTTTTACTGGTGGGCAGAGGGCCAGCCTACACCAGGCAGGATTTGTAGGATCAACTGATTGGAATTCAGGGATGAGCCTCCGTTCCTGTCCAGAGCCAGCTGCAAACCAGCAGCCCATGGCATCCCAATCAGGCACGGAGTTTTGTCAGGGAATGCTGAGATGCACACAAACAGCTTCAGCAGCTCTGGCTGCACCCCTGCCTTGCAAAATGACACTCAATCTCCAATTCCAGATGACAAGAACTGGATAAAAACTTAAAACAAATGGTGACCTTTCCAAAGATTAATTTGTTTACCAACAAAACGTTCTGCGTTTGTCAGAAGAGATGGGGGTGACCTTCACATTCCCATTTCCAGGTTGAGAGGATGCTGACTGCACTCATCTGTTAACTCTCTCTCACCAATTATTTCCTTTTTATTTTTAGTGACAAGAAGATTTTATTCAATCACCATGCTGCTTATTATGATTACACACAGTAATACAAATGCAAGAAGCTTCTTTTGATTTACTGTAGTGTGACTTCAATTTGTTTAAGTCTCATCCTGCCACCACTGCCAAACTCTGCTTTGGCTGTAATTAGAGCCAAAAACACAATCAGGTGGGGCATCAAAAGACCTGGTTTCCTTCTACAACTTCTTCTAGTTGCTTGAAATTAAGGAAATTCCCTGCCTTGCTTTATAATTTTGAAAATAAATACACTTTCAGGTATAAGCATTGATGATTAGCAGCATGCAAATGCTGAATAAAGAATGAATAATTGAAGATTTGATTAGAATGGTTGTGCTCAAACAAGTGAGCTTAAAAAAAGCCCCAGAATCACTGCCATCACCATTAGAGCCACACTAGATAAGATGCAACTCATAAAGGCTAGAAATCATCACCGTATTAAATTCTACCTCATGAATAAGTGAAAAGGTTCCTAAGTTTACAGTATAATATACATTTATAAGAAAACAAGGACCCAAAAGTGCCAGTATAATTCTATAACAGAACAGCACTCCTATGAAAACAGAAGGCAGAGCTGTGAATCTTTCCTACATTGCAGCAGTGCATCAGAATTATTTTTACTGCAATTCAGATTACTGTTCCTTTGGCTGAATACTCCATGGGAAGTATACATATTTAATAATTATCCACTCATCATTTTTCATCTCTTATCCAGATATAGGCTGCAAAAGAAAGTGTTGCCCGGTGTGTGTTTCAAACAGAATTAAAGCCCTCATTTTAAAATAACTACAGAACTTGGCAGAGGATGAAGCATTATTATTAGACCTTAAAAGGTCCAAAAGGGCAACAGTTAATTGTTCTTAGTTTCTATGATAAAATCCAGCATCAGCAACTTTATAATACCAAAAGAGCAAGAAAAGGCATAATTTTTGGTGAAACAATGAAATCCTGACTAATGATTCTTCCAACTACTGGAATGGCAGGATAACAAAAAGTCCGGGTAGATTTGTGCTTGACCCCTCAGGTCACCTCAAACCCCGACTTTTTAACCTCACCTCGCTTTCAACCGCTCAACCCTCGTCGAAAACTCCTGGAATACGCCTGAATGGCGTGAGACAAGCAATTAGTTTTTAATTTACTTGGGTGAAAGGGGATTTTTCCAGGGATTTTTTTGTGGGGAGCCGCTCCTTGACCCCGCGGAGGCCTGAGGGACGTGCGCGTACGGACAGCGCCCCCTGCCGGCCGCTCGCCCATTCCCTCAGCGACTTTAATCTAAATTTTATCCGAATTAACGTCATTTTAGACCCGCAGCTGCGCACAGATTCATTGGCGGTACTACGAATAATCATATATATCACGTATAATCATATAGATCATATAAAATCCCTCCTTTAGCTACTGGTAGACGCCACCTTTAACAACGAACGCGTCTCAGCAGTGCATTTTGCAAATACCACCTGCAAAAATTTTACAGCCAGTGAAGGCAGAACATCCCAAACCATACATTGTGTCCTAAGATTCGAAAACTCTGAAGAGAATAAATAAGAGAGGAAATACCTGCTTGGTTTTTCAGCCTGTCAGCTCCACAGAAACTGTAAATATGTATCTGGGAGCCTGAGTAATTCACATTAAATGATTGTAATTTAAGGAAGTTTTCTGTGCTCAGTGCATGTTTTAGGGAGAGTGGTAAAACACATGGCTCTCTGCAGTCGGATAATATTCCTCTCTGTGAGTGTTTTAGAGTGGTTCTAAAAAGCTATTAGCCATGATGCTTTTTTCTAATTAACTCTATTATCACAGGGTTAGACAAATCACCTCTTAGTCTGGGCAACAGCTTTCCAAAAATCATTTTTTATAAGTGGCAGCTCACAACTGTGCCATTCACAGATTCTCTTTATGTTGTTTAAAACCAAACACCCCAGAATCTCTCCTAGAGCACCGAGCTTGCTGCAGGATGTTTCTGTCACATAAATTAAATTGTAGAAGAGCATCCCCATGTGAGGCCATTGGCTGTGTGGACCACAGTGCTGTGCTAAATTTGTGAACATAATTGATTTTTTGGAAGGATGGCTGTGCCTACTCTTTTTTTTGAAAGCATTCTTTGCTAAAAATATCATCTTTACATTCAGCTGCAGAATTGGCAGCAGAACCGAAATTTGCAGTTGCAGGAGAGAAATTTGGAAAAACCAAAACTTCATTTTGCACGATTTGAACATTCCCAGAGCAGAGAGAAGAATGCATCTTCCTGCATCTTTGGGTCAGAAATCCCTAAACTCCAGTTTATCTACTCTGCCTAATTCTCCTGAGATTACTGACCATGCACATCCCATGTATATTCATATTTTTGCTGGATTGGGATCTTGGGACATAAACCTGTTACATTTCAGGCTTCTTTTCCCCAGTATTACCACTGAAATTGTTTTGATCTTTAAATACCCATGTCAAAAAGCAAGAAATTTTGAGGAAATTACTTTCATGTCAATATTTTATTTAGGACTGATAAGTATTAACTGTAATAGTGTAAAAAAATGCATATAATATACCCAGAAAATAATAAAAGTTACTTACAGGAGCAGATTTTTTCTTAGTTATAAGAGGCAGTCTGGTCTCATCATTGGGATGTTTTAAACCAGCTTTATTATCCGTGTTCTCTGGGTCAAGCATAATTTTAAAATCAATTTCCACCTGCTGCTGAAATATACAATAGGGATAACCATAAAATAACTGCACCAGGGCTGAAATGTTTAGAGGCAGAAACCGGCTAACATGTTGTAAATTTGCAAAATGATGACAAAAATTAATATTATTTGACTCCACACAGAACTGGGGAAACCAACAAAGTGCCTTTATTTAGATGGAAGACTTTGTAATGACTTGAACTATTATCCACATAGACACTTTGTTATCAGACTTTGTTCAATCACTTCACTTCCCAGCTCTGCAATTTCCACACCTGCACACTTTTGGGTTAAATTTGGAGTGGGAAGCCCAGTCAGGCTTGACTCCCTGGCTCTGTGTTGTGGTTTGCACGCTCCTCACAGAGGATAACACGGATCCAGTCCACCCTGGCTGGGTCTGGGATTCAGGAATCGCTGCCCTGATGGACCACAACAGCTCACTGCAGGCACAGCACTTGATTATTAGTAAATGAGGAATTAAAAAACCCTGATAGTAATCAGAATTAAAGCATAGTTCTTAATGCGTTCTGTGATCTGCATGGAATGAGTTCAGCTCTTATGCTAATAAAAATCATGATGATTTAAATCCCAGTGGACAGAAAATTACAAGTTTCTTCTTGGTCTAAGAAATACCTAAAGCATACCTGTAAAACCCAGAAGGATGCTCCATGTTTTTAATAGAGTAGAAGTTGAAAATACTTTGGTGAATGTTCTTTTGTATCAACATAAAAATAAATCCAGGAAAATTCCAATTTTTACGAATAAAATATGCCATAAAAAGTTCAAGAATCATTAGATGTGCACTTGAACTATTGAACAACTGTGTCAATTTGTGAAAGCACTAAAAATGGTTTAATTTATTTATCTGCACTATATATTCTCTCTTCTTTTGATGGTAATTACAAGCAAATGTATCAATGAGATGCTCATTTAGATTTGGGGTTGTAAGAACACAAGTTATTATCCAAGCCAATTACTCTTTTACCCACATGGCTGCACAGAGACAGAAAGTTCAATTTTCACCTCATCAGTGCTTTTGTGGTATTTATTTTATTACTATAACACACCGTAATGCAGGGAGGAAACTGCTGGTGCTATTAAAAAAATAGAATTGGGGGGGAATTGAGCACCTTTCAATTAAAACAGGAGATGATTCCCAATGCAAACTCCTCGCTCAGGCTGACAGGGATGTGATCAATGCACGGGGAAAAAGTGCCACACAGGATAACAAGAACTGGAATTATTAATAAAAAGACACCTGATAAAAGTGGCTTTGTCAGCTTGGAGTGGGAAGTGCCAATTCCACACCTGCATGGATGGAATCTTTCCCAAATTAAATGTAATCCTGGGCTGGGAGAAGGTTCCTGCCTCAGCTGCTCCTTCTGCTGAGGATTTTTTAACGCTTTCAGTCGTGGGGTGTTATCAAAGCCTGAATCCATGGGCAGCCAGAGCATTATGGGATGCACAATGCACGGAGCACCCATGGAATGTGGCCCCTGGCAGAACAATCAGGGTGGGATTTCAGACCTGAGAGCCCTGGGACACACGTGGGGCTGATCTGCTGCACCTCTGGACAGTCACGGGCTCAACTCGTGGCAAAACCAGCTGCTTCTGACAGGCACCAAAAGGGAGACTCCTGATTGAGAGAGAAACAGGCAGTGAGGTTCCTAAAAATTACTTGGATTTTACCTATAAAACCCACTCTGCTTTCATCTAGCTCTATCCAAATGACTGTGTTTTTATTAAAATTTGTGTTTAGCAAAACTAAAATCACAGGACTTAGCAGAGCACTTCTGGAGCCACTCAGAATTGCACTTACATTTTTTATTTTTTTTTTTTTAACTTAAAATCAAAAGTCACTTTGATTTTAATAGGAAATTACTAACTTTTTCTAGGTCAATACTCCCATTTGCTTGACATGATTATGTCACCTCAGTTTTTGTGTCTTGCTGCAATAAAATATCTGTTTCACTTACCACTTAGGGGGCTCTTTGGAATTTTCTTCTTTATTACCAGCTGAAGAAAGAGTTAACTCTTGGCCATTTACAACATTTATATAATTTTCAGCGTGTTTCTGTTAGAGGGGAAAACATATTTAGCCTATTACAAAGATATAAAGGATATTAATTTTATTTAACTGGGTTCATTAAGCACTCCAGGTCTTTGCTTGACTGAAAAGTTGATAAACTTTGTGCCTCTGTCAGACTTAAAATCTGATTTTGGCTTATGGGCACAAGATCAGCTAATTCTGATGACCCAAAAAAGGGAGCCATAATTCTGAACTGTAATGTCTGAGTAATCTCATCAGCTGCTGATTGGAAAGGGCTCTTATAAGACAACAAATATGTGGCCCAAGTGATTGATTAACACAGACTTAAAAAACGGAATCATTTTCTGGATCTGCTCTATTTTACTTACTCTCAGCCCAAGTTCAGTCCTTTCAGTTGCTTTTCTGAGGTCACAAATATCCATGGCTTCTGCATTTCCTTTCAAGTTGTTTTTTTCCATTTTAAGCTTCTGAAGGTCTTGAATCTAAAAAGCAAGTTAGGACAAAAATCATACCTGTAACCAAACCCCATGGGGTTAGGTAGGATTTAATTCAAATTAAATTATTCCTAAATACAGGGAAAAAGGGTCCATGTGGCTTCTGTACTATTATAAATCAGAGAATACAACGCAAATTACTTGAAGTCACTGAGTGTAGGAAAGCTGGAAAAACTCCATTTTAAAACAAACCTCACGAAGCAGTGACAATAAACTTCAGGACTGAGATTTAAAAGAGTGATGTTTCCTCACACATCTCACACTCCTGGCACAGCTGCTTTCCCAGAGCAGGGACCTCAAAAGCCTTTAACAAGAGATAGGAACTCCAGGCAGCCTGTGAGGAGAACACACCGGCGCATGTCAAAACTGTGTATTTTTGTTAACTAAGCAGCTCCGAGGTCTCAAAACCCGCAGTATTCACAGTCCAAGCGCTGTTCCGACACGCACCAGCCGCTGCCCCTCAGGCAGGGCCGAACCCCCGCGCATCCCCCGTCCCCTCAGCACAATTGCGCCTCAGCCGAAGGTTGACCCGGGGTGCTGAGGGATAACCCGGGGTGTCCTGGCTGCTCTGCCGAGGCAGGAGAGGCCGGTCCGGGGAAGAAGGTGTCGGTGCCGGCGCTGTCCGAACGCACCAGCACATG